ATGTATATATCCATTAATAAAGCATTATGGTTGGTTTTCTAGTTAAAATCGTTGTATAGCATCATAGGAAATCAAAAAGAACTAAAATGTAGCAGTTTGGAAACTTATTAGACGACGGTTTTTATAATAAATCATGGTCTTTACAGATAATTAACGACGGTTTTTATAAAAAAGTGTCGTCTATTATAGGTAAAGATGACATTTTTTTTTAAAAAAGGGTCGTCTATTGTATGTAAAGATGACGGTTTTTTATAAAAAACCGTCGTCTTTATAAAAAATCCACGACGGTTTTCTTAAAAAACCGGCTTGTATGTAAAGATGACGGTTTTTTATGAAAACCGTCGTGGATTGTTTATAAAGACGACGGTTTTTTATAAAAAACCGTCATCTTTACATACAATAAACGACGGTTTTATTAAAAACAGTCGTCTTTCCTCCTATAATTAATGATCTTTACCTCTAAACAACGACGATTTTCTTTAAAAAACCGTCATCTTTACTGATAAACAACGACGGTGAAAAGCCGCCGTAGTTTGAAACCCAAATAGACGGCAGTCAATTTCACGACGGTTGGAAAACCTTTTACACGACGGTGGTTTCCCGTCGTCTATTTCGATTTTTGTAGTAGTGTAGAGGCCTTCACTAGTGGCATGTTGAGCTCCTGGATACGTTATCATTTGCCATGAAATCCATTACTAGCAAATCTATCACACATCTCATTTGCTGTAAAGAAAAGGAAGAAAAACAACAAGGAAAAGTTGTTTATAAATTATGTGTTCAATTTCAAATCCGTCACATATATGATGCCACGTTATTAAAATTACTATAATGCCACGTTATTAAAATTACAATAATGCCATGTTATTGAAATTACTGTGCTAATCGAAGTGTTGCTAGATTGAATAAATGACATTTTTTGCATATGTGGAGTGTGCATAGTCTCTTGTATTTTAGTTCAAATCTCCCTCTCTAATGTAGTTTAGAATATACCCCTCGATTTATAATTTGGTTCAAAGTTAAAAATTCTATAAAAATTACAGAGACATCTTCAAGCTCTTAGCTTCACTCTCCAATTGGCCTTAAACATAAATTCCACCAAAAAAATCGTATCTCTATTGAAAACAGATTAAGTGCTCCGGAAAGACTTCTTTGCTTCTTCAGGTTTAAGGCCCCGAGCGATTCCTTTTCTTTGATGACTGCAAAGACAACATGGGAAACATATTAGTTAGTTTGCACCTTAGACAATTTTGGCTTTGTAATCAATTTTTGGCAAACTTTTTATTTACTTCACATTTTGTGAAAAATAATCTAATTAGTTCAAATGAAATAAACTAAGGCACTAACAAATATAGATTAGGGATAACAAATGTGCAATAAGATGTCCTTATCATCATACTACCTATATATTAGGTACATATTTTTTAGGAAAACATCATCAATAATTCTCGGTAAAGTTAAAATTATTGGAATAGTTATGGGCATAGGAGGAGCTATGGTGTTCGGTTCCTACAAAGGCAAAGAGATCAATATGTGGTCAACACATGTTGATCTTTTCCATACTCATGGGGAGCCATACAAGGCATCACACAAAAGTCCTCAAAGTCTTTTGTGGGGGTGCATGCTATCATTGGGTGGTTGTGTCTCGTATGCATTATGGTTTATAGTTCAGGTTTCTTTATTTCATTTTATCAATGCAGTAAAATCATATTAAGAATTTCTCCTATCCTTATTCAAGCACAGCTCTAATGTCCCTGATGGCGTCAATTCAATCTGTAGTTTTAGCCTACTGCGTGGACAGGGACTGGAAGCAATGGAAGTTGGTACTTACGGCTTCATATTCAGTGATAATTTATATATATATATATATTAGTGCCGAAAAGTTTACTTTGAATATAATAATGTCACTATTAATTAAAAGTGTTGTGCAATTTTCCAAAAATACCTGAATTTGGTTGGAACCAGATATGAGTTTCTATATTCCTATTTGAATTTTGTTCAGGGAACCTTGATATCAGGGTTTGCTCTGATCCTAATGACATGGGGTGTAAAGAAGAAAGGGCCATTCTTTGCTTCGGTTTTTCAGCCTGTGCTGCTTGTGATGTTTGCACTTGCAGGCTCTTTCCTCCTTGATGAGAAGTTACATATGGGAAGGTATGACTTATCTATTATTTTCTTAATCCACCATGCCATTGTTTGGAATTTCTTGTCTTTGTTACTTAATTAGTTTGTTGCCTTGGAGACTAGTTTATAATTACTACTTTTGTTGGGCTTTCGCTAATTCATCTTCCTCTTATCTCAATATACTAGGAGGACTGCTAATTGTGGCTGGACTATATGCCAAATTGTGGGCTAATGGTAAAGATAAATTCGATTCTCAACCCACATCCGCTGAGGAGATGCCAATTCACACAAATATTGCACAGGCTTAAGGCTCGGCCATGTTTCATTTGTCCAAACATTATCAAACATGGGCCAGCTTTAGGCATGTGCAATGCTTGTGTGAATGTGGATTGAGAATCAAATTTATCCTTACTATTAGTCCACAAGATGGCATATAGTCTAGCCACAATCAACAACCCTCCTTGTATGCTGAGATAAGATGAATTAGCAAAAGTAGTAATTATAAACCAAGTCTCCAAGGCAACAAACTAATTAAGTAACAAAGACAAGAAATTCCAAACAATGGCATGGTGGATTAAGAAAATAATAGATAAGTTATACCTTCCTGTATGTAACTTTTCATCAAGTAGGAAAGCGTCTGCAAGTGCAAACATCACAAGCAGCACAGGCTGAAAAACCGAAACAAAGAATGGCCTTTCCTTCTTTATACCCCATGTCATTAGGGTCACAGCAAGTCCTGACATTATGATTCCCTAAACAAAATTCAAATAGAAATATAGAAACTCATATCTGGTTCCAACCAAAATTCAGGTATTGTTGGAAAATTGTGCAACACTTTTAATTAATAATGACATTATTATATTCAAAGAAAACTTTTCGGCACTAATAAAAAAAAAAAAAAAATTATCACCGAACATGAAGCCGTAAGTACCAACTTCCATTGCTTCCAGTCCCTCTCCACGCAGTGGGCGAAAACTACAGATTGAATTGATGCCATCAGGGACATTAGAGTTGTGCTTGAGTAAGGATAGGGGAAATTCTTTATCTGATTTTCCTGCATTAATAAAATGAAATACATAAATAACAAAAAAAAAACGGCTAATACGAAAACAAAGGAAATAAAGAAACCTAACTTAAACTATAAACCATAATCCGTACGAGAAGCAACCACCCAATGACACAAAAGACTTTGGGGACTTTTGTGTGGCTCCCCATGAGTATGGAGAAGATCAATATATATGCGTTGATCACATGTTGATCTCTTTGCCTCTGCAGAAACTGAACACCATAGCTCCTCCTATGCCCATAACTATTCCAATAATTTTAACTTTACCGGGAGTAGTTTGTAGAGACAATTTCTCTATCCTGAAATATAAAATTAAATTAATGGAAATTAGTTAAACATTATACAGATTATATATAAAAAGAGCTTTGCTAGGATTATATTATCTAAAAATTACCGCTAGGATAAAGGTCATGGTAGGCACCATATTTAACATAGCAACTGCATATGTTGGTGATGTTAAAGACATACTCTCAATGTTTAAGTTTTGTGACAACGAACCCCTGAAATAAATAATAGGTGCTTAATTATTGGAGATGTTGTAAATCTGTGTCACATGAAGAAAAGTCCATGTAACTCCTATATTCGAGACATAAACCTACCATGTTTTGACCTAATTTACTTAGTTTACCTAGATTTTATAAATAATTATTTTACTATAGCACGGACCCTTTTTTTTCTTTTTCTTTTGGGGTCAAGGCAAACTCCCTTCATTAAATATGCAAACACATTTTGTAAGAGTTTTAAGACAGAATAACATAAGACATAGGCCCAAAAGATCACAAAACAGAATTTTAATACAAGCAAGGCCCACATACAAAGTTTCAAACCAAAACAACCCCGAAATTAAAAACAAGTTGCAGCCGCACCATCCAGAGCAAAGCAGCGTTTCAGTTTTTTGGTGGGGGGTGGGGGGTGGGGGGAGATGGGGGGCGTGTGTGTGTAAAAAAACAAACATAAAAGTTAAAAAACCCAAAACTTGCGTTTAAAACACCTCAGTTTTAAAAAAAAACACTTAGGTAACTAGATGAAACGACGTCGTATTAAAACAAACAGAAAAATTCAAGCGAGGTCGTCTTCTTCCTCGCGCTTTGGCTTGCAGACAGCGGCGCTTCTTCGCGCCTTCCACGCCTCGCCACGCTAAGCGTGCAACAAGCTAAACATTCGTACGCCTAAGGAGATTTCTCTCCCCCTCGCTCCAACGCGCGCTTAGGTATGCTTTTGAAAACACTGATACTCATACCCGAACGCGCCACCAAGTAAGAATGGCGGAGAAGGCATCCGTGAACACGAGGAGCGGAGGTCTGTGGTAGAGAGGTGGCGATAATAGACACCAATAGACGAATAACCTCTAGAAATGAGCATAAATCCCAAGCAAAACCACCACAGAGGGTGAGGCAAAATCACCACAGAGGATGAGGAGGATAACAGTAAAAGAAAGAGGGGGCAAAACAAAAAACAAGGAGAGAGATTAACAGAGGGAATCATTTACTCAAGGTTCATTATTGTGAATTGTATTAAGTAATCAGAAGTGTGAGGTTCATACCATCCCAGCAGCCAATTTGTACACAAGGTTCATGTGATTCTGGTTCTGAAAAAAATTATACAATTACAAATGCTTTTTGAACTCTTTACTTGTCTTGTACTTAGCTGTTGCTTACTCCTATTAATACACCCTCCTCCATCCATCCTCTGTCTTCTCCTAATTCTTTTCTAAAAGGAACATTTAATCATTTTATTTATTTATCATTATTAACAATTTGATGCAGCAAAGCAAATTGAAAGGACAAACAAGTAAAACAGAGTGCAGCTTGCTTAATGGTTGATTCCCACAAAAAAAGTTGGGTTAATTCTATAAGAAGATCAGTTCTCTTTTAATTTTATTGTTTTGGCTTAAGCATGTGTGATTGAAGCTACAAATAGAAGTTAAAATAGAACAAGTAGGTAAATAGTTGAGGAAGATTAATTAGGTTTTGTGAGTAGTAAGTTAAATTACTAAATTAGCCTTAAGTTTTAAATCTTTTATCGCACTTAACAAGGTCATAGGAGGCAGACGTTACCCGGGTAGATTAGATAAATTTTAGATTAATTCAGAGTATTTTAGACTATCACTTGTATAATAAAAAAGGGGCCGTACATTTTTTTTGAAAAAGACAGGTCCTAGGAAAATCAGAGTTTTCTAATTTTATCAAACAGAGAGATAAAAATATGAAAATAAGTGATTTTGGCACTGAAAACACAATGACAAAAGGGCATTTAGCAATTTGATAATAATTTAATTTAATCACATTCATTCCCAATAAGACAAACTACCCACCGCAGCTGAAGAATCCGGAATAATGGAATACTTGGGCATCACTGTTGCTGCCGTAAGTGTTAAGTTTCTTTTATCATTTATATTTATTTTAAGGGTATCATCCCAAATTAACTTTCATTTCTTGTGCACCTGTGTTCACAAGCGCAAGCATCTTCTTTTTTTAACAAATTTGCCATTATGGACTCTACAAATATGGATATTCTCTTCTTTCTTAGATTTTAGTATCCGAAATTTCAGTTTCTGCATTTGATAAACTCTCTTCTCATTATGCAGTACTCAGTTTTTGGTTCAATATTGGTAGAGTGTAGTTACTTTTAATTTTTTTTTAGAGACATGCAAAGAGTGTTTTTTTATTTTTGTGGAGAGACATGCAAAGAGGGTTGTTAAAATGTAAACAACAACACGCAGATGAACGTCGTCAATGAGACATGCGCATGTTGTCTTTACTATGTTTACAACGCAAAATGAAATCATTCAAAGATCATCTCTACAAAAAAAAATCACTTGAATCTGATATCATTTTATCACTTAATTGAGTTATTGAAATTTAAGTACTTTCTTCAAGTATCATGTTAATTAATATTCTATGACACAATTAGATACCGAAACAGTTTCCAATAGTCTAATTTCTCATCACCAACAATGACCCGTAAATTCTGAAATGGTACGGGCACAATGACCCAATTTTCACGGGTGAGGCTCTATGTGTGGACGGTATAGTGTTGTGATATTGATATGTTACTGATTAGCCAAGCCAGGTGTGCTACCAAATCCCTTCCAGCATGTTTTGAGACAAAAACAGACTTTAAATCTTATGGTTTCAAATATGTTTTCATAGCATAACTTATACAGCAGAAATTTTCAAAATCCAGCAGTTTAGCTTATTTGCCTTGGGCATTTTGAAATGTCATTTGTACTCAGAATTCTTCGAAATTTTGACACGTTATAGTTTCACATGTCTTCTTCAATTCTGGAAATTTTTTATAGAGACATGCAAAATCCAATTTCAGTGTCTCACTGCCTGGTTTCCACGTAATTCAAAAACCCAATTGATTGATGATCTCATCACTTTTGGAATCGTAGTAAAAAGACAATCTGTTGGATTCAACCTTCTTTCTCATCTTGTTAGCTCTGTTTTAGTAAAAGAACCAAACTATAAAAAGGTCAGTCCGTCTCCATCTTCGAAAAGATTTGAGGCCCAAATATTTGGGTTACATGAAGAAAAGTCCATGTAACTCCTACATTCGAGACATAAACCTACCATATTTTGACCTAATTTACCTAGATTTTATAAATAATTATTTAACTATAGCACGGAAACTTTAAAATTATTTACCTATACAATTTACATACTACTAATATACTTACTAATTTCACTACAACTCCAATACTTGGAATAATTCAATACTACTAATATACCAACTAAATGTTTTGCGAGTAATGAATCACACAACACCATAACACAATATCGATAAGCACAATAAAGACTAATCTAGGGTTTAGTCAAGTATATGGAAATTAGCATTAAATATCACAAAAAATAATAGAGAAATTATTATTCATAAAAGATAATAGGTATACTATTATCCATAAAAATAATAGGTATATTAGAAAATTAATAGGTATATTATCATTCATAAAAAAGAAAGAAAAAATTGATATGCTGTTTTCAATAAATCACGAAATAGGTACATTATTATTCAAAAAATTTAAAAATCAAGTAATCAAATGTTACAATAAAAATTAGTTGTGTTAAAATATTAGGAGATAAACACATAAGAAGCATTTTTTATCGAAAACACATAAGAAGCATAGGTGAGTGTAAAAAGTTACAAACATGACTTTTTTCTATTTTAATGCCCAAAAAAAAAAACTAACAAACAACTCCCTAAATTTATATCAATTACCATTTGAATGACAATTTTATT